GTGTGTGTGTGTGTGTGTGTGTGTGTGTGTGTGTGTGTGTGTGTGTGCGTGTGTGTGTGTGTTAAGAGAAGACAGAGACCGATATAAAAATGAAAAGAGCATAACACCATAAAAGTCCTGAGGTAAAATAAAAGAGCAAAGCACCAGATGCGAAGTGGCCATACCTCGCCTGCTGAAACAGAGAATAACAATGCTTGATGGTTGATGGACCTCTGGTGGGTGCTGGTGCTCGGGGCAAAGCAGACCATCATGCAATCAGTCTGAGAAAGGTCGGCGTATTGATCGGCACGTATGTCTCCACTGTTACATATCAAAAACATCTCTGCTCTTCTCAACACTTCTCTCTAAAGATGACCTGAAGTACACTGCTCTTTACAGCAGTCCTTCCCCAGACAGCCGTTCGGCCTGTCACGCTGAGGCACCACCAGACTCAAACCCAGACACATAGTTCTTTGTTACAGCGTACCTGGCCTTTATAGAAGTTTTTGGGCATTTTTCTTTTTCTTTACTCAAGATGAACTTATCAGTGTGTACACAGACAGGAAGGAGAGGGGGGGGGGATTTAATCTGATCGTCGGATTATTATAATACTGCCAAAAAGTCACATATCTTAATCTTCGAAATGAATGAATCAATACGATTCGTCAGTGTTAGATAAAAGATATGATGAAACCTTGATCTGTCTGAAGCTGATTCTTTATTAAACAGAGAAAGCAGACAGCCAAATATATGCCACTCTCGTGTCTTGGCTTTCATGTGCGAATGTGTTTGCTTTCAGTCGAGCACAAACCAGTATTCGTGTGTTTCACATCAGGAAACGCACCTCGCTGCCTCAGCCTGGTCTTAAAAACCTTATATCTTTTGTAATAGACTGGCACAGAAGAGTACACAGAGGGAACAACCATCGTTCAGGGTGTGTGAATCATACATGAGTGCGTGTGAATGCACACAATGTGATCAAAGATCCGAAAGTTGTGGTTGAAGGCAGAGGAGTTTGGTTTCCTTATCCCCTTTCTCACATTTTCTCCGTGTATGGTTAAAAGATGCAATAACCACAGTGAATGCAGCCTTTAAATGTGTGTGTGTGTGTGTGTGTGTGTGTGTGTGTGTGTCTCTGTGTGTGTTAACATGCATGCAAAGCCTATGCAAATGTGTTTTTAAGCGTGCCCTTGTGTCCATGCTTAGGGGGTCGACAATGTGCTTCTCATTCCCATTTGCGGTCGATATCGGATGAGGATATGAGAGTCAGTATTGATTGTAATTTCCTGTGACGCCACCTTCCGCTCTCCTGCTTTATCAGGAGACTAATACCTATCAGCTATGCTGTCGGCCAACCAACAGCCCTGACTGCTGCCCAGGACAACAGTTAATGAATAAGGGAGGAACGAATAATCCAGCGAGGCATTTCTCCTCTGACAAACAGGTTGCCACAGGGATGATAATGATGAGACTGGGATATTGGGTGCAGACAAATGTGTGTGTGTGTGTGTGTGTGTGTGTGTGTGTGTGTGTGTGTGTGT